GGACAAGTAGTCGACAATAACGATATAATTTTCTGTGCCATACTTGAACAAGTCAGTGCCAACCTTCTGCCAAGGTCTTTCAGGCATTGGATGTGGGTGAAGGGGCTCACATGGTTGTGAGGATTGGGTTATCTGGCACTTTTCACATTGTGATATGAGATCTTCCAGGGGCTCTGTCTATCCCAGGCCAGTAAACGGATTGCCGAGCTCTACGCTTGCACTTTTCCATGCCTAAATGACCATCGTGGAGCTAATGTAGCATCTGGCATTGCATGGATTTATGTATTACGGTACGGCAACCATACAGGATTATAACATCATGAAGTGTCAGGCTAGAGCGCACTGACCAAAATCGTCTAATAATCTCTGGGCAATCATTTTTGGAGTCTGGCCAACCTGATGCAATGGTGGATGCAAGAGTTGACATTTGTTGATCATTGACCATGCACTCTTGGATTTTGAATAACAATATTGACAAGGTGTTTATCGACTGGAGAGACAGCATGGTGTTTACTAGTGCTTCGCTATCATCTTGGTCTATAATATCATCTTTTGCTGGCTGATCAACAGGTGCTCTTGATAAAGCATCAGCGGCAAAATGTTTTTTACCATCTACCCAAATAGCTGTAAAATTGTATGGGCATATTTTCATCCATAAACTTTGTAACCTAGGGTTATCAATCTCATCAATACTATATTCATTGAAAATTGGAATAAGTGGTTTATGATCAATAAGTAAGTGAGGAAGACCGTGGAGAAAAAGATGGCATTTCTTCATGGCCCAAGCTGCTCCTAGTGCTTCAATTTCAATCATAGCATATTTGGCCTCTGTGGGCGTCAAAAACCTTGAGGCTGCCTGTACAAGTCTACATGTACCATCTTTCTGGGTTTGTGTAAGAGCAAGGCCTACTCCATGTAGCCTTGCAGCATCTACTCAAAGCTAGGTTTGTAAACTGGGATCAAAGTAGGCCAAAACTGGTGTGCCGGTGAGAAGATCCTTTGAGTTTGTTCTAAAACAAAATGATTTTTGGGCTTGAGGAGAGGACGAAGTGGATTTAGGGGATCTGCTATTTCTGATGAAAAATCTGCTAACTGATTTATCAGACCAAAGAATGATCTGATGTCTGTGATAGTGTTGGGCTTTGGAAAATTCCCGACGGCATTAGTGAGCTCTGGACTGAGTTCATATCCATCCGAAGACAGAATAACGCCACAAAATGGAATGGACTGCTTTCCAAATTGACATTTGGCCAAGATAAGGTTGACTGAATGTTCATGGCATCTCTGGAGAAAAACAAACAAATTTTCTTCATGCTGTGCGTCATCTTTTCCATATATAACAACGTCATCAACAATTTTGGCAACACCTGTAACACCGTCCATGCGGCCGAAAGGTGTGATGAACGTGGTTAGGTTGGTATCTTCTGGTGCAATAGCGACTTGCCAATAGCCTGTCAAAGCATCAACCTTAGAGAACTTCTTGGCCTCGTGTTTTGATGTGGAGACAATCGCCTCATGTGGGGTTAACGATTGGTAGCGTTCTCGGATGACAAATTTGTTGAGATTGGTGAAGTCGACACACATTCTTATATCATCAGTGTTTTTCTAGGGGACTACAACAATAGGGTGACACCACGCAGTTGGTTCTGTGACCGGGGTAATGACTCCTTGAGCTACCATGCTATTCAACTTGGCTTGAAGCTTATCTCTTAAGGGCATCGGAATTCGTCTTGGGGTGTGAACGGAAAATGGCTTTGCATCATCTTGTAACTGGATGTGGAGCTGTTCACCCTTCATGGATTTGAGCTTGTCATCAAAGACTATTGGAAAATTGCGTACAACCTTTTGTTGTAAGTTGACAACCATAGCCAATAGATAAGGATTAGGCCAGTATTCTGGAATAAAATGCAATGCTCGGAGGGCAGGTCTTCCCAATATAATGCCTTTCATGCCTTGGGTCACATAAAGATGTTGAGTGGTGGTGACAGAGTGGTACTTAAGTTCAGTTTCAAAGTGGCCATCATATTGTAGACTAGAGTGGCCTACTCCAACAAGTGATCGATTTGAGGATTGCAAAGGAACAGGAAGCTGCATATTTTGGAACAATACTGGACTAATCGCAGAAACAACTGCGCCTGTATCAAGGCAAGCTTTATGAAGGTGTGACCCAAGGTAAATATCTTTACAGAATTCCAGATCCGAGTCATCTGAGGTATGTAAAATTCTGGAATGAATGCTGGAAATTTGCTGCATTCCACTACACTGCTTACTCCTGTGAAAATGACACAACTGTTTACATGCTGGGCAAGTTTTGCCATATACAGGACATGGACGTTGAGCGTGAGTTGTAAGACACTTCTTGCAGCTATAGGTGCGTATGGGCTTTTTAACTGTGAGGGGTGCCTTGTACTGGAATGTCTTGGACCTCTGGGCTTTATTGCTGGACATATAATTGATGCCTTCTTTGCTTTCAATTGTTGTCACGTGCTGGGCTGAAGATTATTCTGCACGGAATATCTCTGTGGCTGTTATCAAGGTGAGAATTTTGGCCGCCAGGAGTTTCTCGCGTGTCTCACTGTTAGACAAACCCAGGAAAATCTTATCCCTTAATAAACGACTGTGAATATTTTCAGGGTAATTGCAAGTTTTTAACATTTCTTTGATCTCTGTTAAAAAATCATCAAATGTTTCGTTGACCTCTTGGTGTCTTTTGTTAAAGTAGTAGGTTTCTACAACTTCATTTAGGCTACCTAAAGCATAGAATTGCAATGCCTCAATAATGTCTACTGGTCTTTCCCTTTGGGCACTTGTCAATGGCTGATTGTGAAGAATTTTAAGTGTTTCGTCTGCTAGGGACGATTTTAAAAGGGCGACTTGAGTAGTAGAGGACATTTGATCTAGCTCATTGATGCTTGAAAATATATCCTATCACTCTTTCCACGTCTTCAACGCTTCACCTTTGTCTTCCGAAAATCAAGTTTGTTCGGCAGAAGATTGAAGTTTACTTTGGTGGTTGTGGGAGGAGGCGGTGGCTGAGACATACTTGAACCAGTTCCGATGCTTTATATAAGGTAGCAAGAATTGTTTTGGGACAGTAAAACAGCTCGCAGCGCATGCTATTTTGTCTAATTTGTTTAATTGTAGATATTTCCCAATCAGAAACACGAGGCGACATTACAACATTACGTTCAAGATAACTTTATTACTAGAGAGCTAGAAAGGGCATTTAACTCGATAGGGTTCAGACCACACACCCACCGACTAGCGCAATTACAAACTAAATTCTGATAAGGCTTCTTTTCATAATCAACCAAACAAATTAAACCAAAAAACCTCAAAAACTCTGATTGAACAAATTTGCAGCTATCCCTGATTGAACAAATTTGCAGCTATCCCTTTGAGTTGAGTGAATGCCATTCTTTCAAAAAATGTATCTAACATTTAAAAGGTAAGATTTTGATAAATTTTTTGTACCATTTTGTTTACTCTATTTCCCACTGACCCTTCTGCATTATTTTCTTAAAATTTCTCACGTGTGCACGCCACTTATAGGAACTTGCAAGATCGACTCCGATCAAAGTATTTAGTATAATGCCATCAATCAGCCTAAAAGATCTCCTGTGACGTCACAATAGGGACACTAACTACTATTCCTGCTTTCAAAAATGAAGCACATCTGTGGACTTTGCAAGGAGATTCTCAAATGTTCATACAACTTAAAATGGCATTACCGAAGCTTTCACACCCATCTTAAATTCTGGCAAAAATCTTGCAACCAAAAATACAGATGTATTGATCTCACTCGACACCAGAAAACTAAACACCAAGTAGATCTCTTGGAAACTGCTGTGATACAGAGCATCGGCCACCCTTACACTCACTGTGAGGAAAGGTGTTCAAGTAATGACATCAAAAACAACAATGCAATTACTATGGACACCATCTCCGAATCAGCGGAGGATAAAAATGACAGATCACCCTGTCTTATATATCATTCCCAACCATGAGTAACTGGGAGATTTTTTGTGAAGGAATTGAGCCTTCCTTCGAATTAGAGGCCCGGCCAGTATTTAGTACAATGAATTGCGATGATTTGGCAGAATCAAATCACAGTAAAATAGACTGGGTGTTTTTACAACATTTCAACCCAGAAACACAAAAACAATTTTGTGAGCTCTTCGTAGAATTCAAGAAAGACTTCCGACGGGCCACTTTTCAAAGTATGTGAAATAGCAGCATAATTCTTAGCCTAACTCAAGGCAGAGAATAAAAATTGGGACACGTTCATAACTTTTTTAGCTGTGGTATCCCCACGGTGAAAACTAATAACAAGTGGTTGCCATGCAAGATACGTCCATATTTTGCAAGAGATGGACAGAGAACTAGCTAAAAATATAATGTGATTTTTTTGTACAGTAGAGTGTCCACAAACAAATTGTAAACGGACGGACATGAGCGATGATAATATTAGTGCATACATTCCGGTAACCTAATAGATTTATTAAACAATCCTCAAGTCAAACATGAAAGGCAATTTATAGCAGATTTCGAGAAAGTTCCATGACTTGCGCAGAAGGAATTAGCCGTTAAGTATTCAATTGGCCGAGCTACAGTGTCAGACATATTAAAGCGTAAAGATGTAAATGATTTTATGAATATATTGTACGCATGCATTGTTATTGTTAATTATTTAATGTAATAAAATATTGAAAGTACAGAAAGGTTTATCATTTTTAAAGGGAATAGCATTCTGGTGATTCGAAGCTACAATATAAAAATACTTCCGGTTTTCGAAGTTACAGTATTTCCGGTTTTGGAGAAAGCTCGGTATTCCGACACGCTGTGTGATCCGAAATATTGTAACGATCCTGTACGATGTCGGATGTGACAGAGTCCACTGTAGAACGAATCTAGTACCTTCCTGAGAGAAATCTGGGAAGGCTGTTCACCAAAAAACAGATGTTTTTACTAGTCTAAAAGGGTTTTAACAAATGTCTTACTTCTTGCTTGAATAATCGAATTAACTGATAAGCTTGTGCATCATGTTCTGTTTCTCGATCTATAACCTTTAGTTGAAACTGTCTCAAGAAATGCTCCACAGTTAATCTTTCTCTGTATCGCCATATAATAGGATTAATTTCAAGATTTTCTAAACCCATATCATCTGCTGGACTTTCCACTTCATACAGTATTTTTAAAAGATTATCCTCATCTTAAAACATAAAAATATTATTTAGTTACATATTTTTCTATAGATGAAAAAGATAGATTGCAGACAAGAAAATATATGCTCACAGCAGGTAAATCTTCTGAACAGTCTATTAAGATACATTATGGGAGATTTGATAACGAGTTGGCAGTTCTCACTACAATAGTTAAAATCTAGATAACGTAAAGGCAATTTGCTGAAAATTTCATTCAAATTGATCCACTATAAACCGAGAACTAAGCAATTGAAATTTCAGGCCTAGCCTCGGTCATCATTACTAAAGTCAGTATGATAAACAGCATAGTCTTGATTATCCCTTTAATCGTTAAATCGTGAAGGAAAGTTATGCAGTAAATTGGCTCATAATCCACTAAAGATCGCAGGCTAGCGATGCCATCTAGAGTTGATTATGGTCTGGATAGGTTAATCAATGTCTAATTAATAATTTAGATAACATTTCAGGCCTAAAGAAAGACCTGCATTAGACAGATTTAGCTCTTGCATAATGTATGCTTAAGCTTGTCACATTCAGATGAAAACTTTATTACCCACTAGAAAATCCATAATATTTTTCAGCTTGATCAAGGACAATAAATTTGTAAATAATTAAAAGACTGTATAGGGGTTTGGGACAATAACTAAGCATAAAATCAATAACTCCAAAATTCAATAGGATTGGTCAACTAAACGACTTGACATGCCGATCAATTCCAGCAAGTTCCAAGAATAAAACTAACCAGCGGCTGCCAGCAGGATACGCCCACATTTTGCAAGAGATTGATAGAGAACAAGATAGGTTGCCAGGCAACAAAACATACGCCCACAGCAGCTAAATCGTCCGAGCAGTCGACAAGGGTTGTCACATATTTATTCTTTTGTAGGTAATTAGAGGAATTTAATAGACAATTTCATACAGATGACATTATAATTTTCGTTGTTTGAAGGTTCACAAGATTCTAAAAACTAAAACAAAGGCCGTAACTCTGGAAGCAATCTACAGAAATTGTTCAAATTCGACAGGCTTTTTTCGTTTTACTAATTCAAATAATGCATATAAATTTCATACAGATCGGATGATAACTTTTGTTGTTCGAAAGTTCACAAAGTTCAACAAAGTAAATCAAGGGCCATAACTCTAGATGTAATTGACGGAAATTGCTGACATTCAATAGGCTTGTTCGTCTTCATTTCACTAATTTAGGTGATAACTGAAACTCAATAGGCTTGTTCGTTTTACTAATTTGAATGATACATATAAATTTCATACAGATCGGATAATAACTTTTGTTGTTAGAGCATTTACAAGGTACAACAAAGTGAAACAAAGGCCATAACTCACGGCGTAATTAATGGAAATTGCGGAAATTCAATAGGCTTCTTCATTTCACTAATTTAAATGATGCATATCAATTTCAAACAGATCGGATGATTGCTGTTGTCATTAGAGCGTTCACAACATTCAACAAAGTGAAACAAGGGCCATAACTCTAGATGTAATTAACGGAAATTGTTGAAATTCAATAGGATTCTTTGTTTTACGAATTTAAATGATGCATATAAATTTCATACAGATCGGTTGATAACTTTTGTCGTTAGAGTGTTCTCAAGGTGCAACAAAGTGAAACAAGGGCCATAACTCCAGAAGAAATTAACGGAAATTGCTGAAATTCAATAGGCTTCTTCATTTCACTAATTTAAATGATGCATATCAATTTCAAACAGATCGGATGATAATTGTTGTCATTAGAGCTCTCACAAGATTCAACAAAGTGAAACAAGGGCCATAACTCTAGATGTAATTAACGGAAATTGCTGAAATTCAATAGGCTTCTTTGTTTTACTAATTTAAATGATGCATATAAATTTCATACAGATCGGTTGATAACTTTTGTCGTTAGAGCGTTCACAAGGATCAATAAAGTGAAACAAGGGCCATAACTCTAGACGTAATAAACGGAAATTGCTGAAATTCAATAGGCTTGTCGTTAGAGCGTTCACAAGGTGCAACAAAGTGAAACAAGGGCCATAACTCCAGAAGAAATTAACGGAAGTTATTAAAATTACATAGGCTTCTTCATCTCACTAATGCAAACAACATATATCAATTTAAAAACAATCAGTTGATAAATGTAGTCTGTAGCGTGTTCACAAGAAATTGTGGACGATGGACGGATGGACCGACGAACAGGGGCGACGGCAATATACGACCACATTTCCATGTGGGCGTATAAAAAAACGATTTTTTGTACAATCAGGGGCCATAATCCAGAAAGTTATGGTCTGAAATGCGCAAATATCAAAAGGAATTGAGATTTTTGAAATATAAAGATATATTTTAATCGGCAGAACGATTTACCCAATACTACCGAATACCACCTGAATACCACTCCAATATCACCACATACTACCCAATACTACAACATAATAGTGCAAAATGAGCATATTACTTGATTCTTTTCAAAAATAGTGAGATATATTGTGGGAAATGTACTTCAAATGTCATTACAGATGTCTGGGACCACAAGCTAAAAGCATCATTTTTCGTACAACCAGGGGCCATAATTCATGAAGTTACTATCCGATATGCAAGAATATCAAAAGGAACCAAGATCATTGGAATATAAACATGCATTTAAAGTTTCATCAAAATCGGATCAAAATTGTAACCTCTTGAGTTTCCACAAGCTAAAAACGTGATTTTTCGTACTATCAGGAGCCATAATCCATGAACTTATTATGGTTCACTACATGACAATATCAAAAGGAGCCGAGATCTTTGGGCGATAGACCTATATTTCAAGTTTCGTCAAAATCGGATAAAAATTGTAACCTGTAGAGTGTCCACAAACAAATTCAGGATGGACGGATGAACAGGGGTGACGACAATATACGTCCACATGAAAATGTGGGCTTATAAAAAGGTTTTACCAGTAGTGTTTCAAAGTTCTGATGTGACAATGAAACACAGAGCCCTGATTAAGTCGATAAAATTGTATTGTTCTTACCTGAATTGCTATTTTCAACCATCTTTTGATTAGCATCAGTCAGGCTTTTTTCCATGTTCTGTAATATGAATTTTTATATGTTAAACCCACTACTAGATGCTATTAAACCATATTTAATTGTTAGCCTATATATAAATAAAGTGAGATGATACTACAAGACAACAGATAAATTATGTGTAAAGCCACTGATCATCATTTGAGGAATTCTGAATCCCTTGTAAACCATAATTTGGCAATATCATAGTTTACAAGGAGTAATAATCCTGAAATGACAAATGAATGAATGAATGAAATGTTGTTTAATGGCACCTCAGCTCGCATCAGGCAATGACAAATGATGTTCAAAGACTTTAATCAAATGTTAATATAATAATGTATAAAATTTTGTACTGATACATGTATTTTGAACGGCTTTGAATATTTGTATACCGAAAGTTCAATTTGTTTTCATTTAAACACAAAAATTCTTGAACACAGAATTTTTGAATTAGCATACAAATACTATTTATCACCCAATAATACATTCTACAGTAGATATCGCTTGTGTGATAAATTTCATAATCTCCTTAGGAGATATCGCTTTACATGAATTTGATTGGTCAGTTGAAAGGAACTACTTGTTTTTTATTTTCAAAGAACAATTCATTTTTTATTAAAAGTAACTTCTTTTTTTTTATTAAAAATGAATTAATTTTATTTAATTGACCTTGATGGAAACACTGGGTCAATATAAAGAAATTTGCAATGGTTGAATTGCTGTCAAACAATGATGTAATGTAATCAGGTTCAGTAAAAGTGAAATCTATAGCAAAGAATTACATTTATTTATTTGTGCATGTAAGAAAGGATTGGGTGATAAATAAAATCTCCTACTCGTCTTTTTGAATATCAAAAAATATCAACACTCGTTGATAAAGTAAAAAAAAACTCGACTGAGTCTCATTTTTTTTTACTTTATCGACTTGTGTTGATATTTTTTTATATCAACAAGCCAACAGTGCGGCTGATGTCCGCGACCGAAATCCCAAAATAAAAAGATGACACATAATAATTAATCGCGCATTTATTTTTTTTCAAAAGTATCGAGCAATTAAACCATACACTAAGTTTCATCACTCTCTAGCAGATAGAATCAAGATTATCTTGTCCCAAAGCATCGACAAATGAAATTGATTAGCTCTGCTTAGCTTCAGCTCGAAATGTTAATCATTGAACTCAGTCAAGACATTCACCTAACGAACATCAAGTTTAAATATTCTACCCAAATTAAAAGCAGAGTTGTTATGTTCCAAAGTCTTGACCAATCAAATTGCTTATCGCTCCTTAGCCTAAGCAGAAAATCCTCACCATCGAACTTAGTCATGGTAATGATATAATGAATCTATATTCGGAGTTTCATCGCTCTCTTTCATTATAACCAAAGTTATCGTGCCCCAAAGCTTCAACCAATCAGATTGCTTATCTCTGCTTACCGTAAGCAGACAATGTTCATCATCGAACTCCATCAAGGCATTCACCTAATGAACGCCTGCACCAAGTTTGAACATTCTTCCTCAATTAGAAGGAGAGTTATTGTGTTCCAAAGTCTCAGCCAATCAAATTGCTTATCACTCTGCTTACCCTCAACAAAAAATGTTCATTATTGAACTTAGTCAAGGTATTGATGTAATAAGGCTATACACCAAGTGTCCTCACTCTTACTTAACTAGAACCAAAGTTATCATGCCCAAAGCATTAACCAATCAAATTGCTTATCTCTGCTTACCCAAAGCAGAAAATTCTCATCTTTGAACCCCATCAAGGCATTCACCTAATAGACACCTACGCCAAGTGTGAACATTCTAACTCAATAAGAATGAGAGTTATCGTGTTCCAAAGTCTCGACCAATCAAATTGCTTATCACTCTGCTTACCCTGAGCAGAAAATGCTCATTATCGAACTTAGTCAAGGTATTGATGTAATGAAACTATACACAGAGTTTCATCACTCTCATTTAATTAGAACTAAAGTTATCGTGTCCCAAAGCATCAACCAATCAAATTGTTTATCTCTGCTTACACTAAGCAGAAAATGCTCATCGTCGAACTCCATCAAGGCATTGACGTAATAAACACCTACATCAAGTTTGAACATTCTAGCTCATTTAGAAGGAGAGTTATTGTGTTCCAAAGTCTTGGCCAATCAAATTGCTTATCGCTCTGCTTACCCTGAGCAGAAAATGTTCATTATCGAACTTAGTTAAGATATTGATATAAGGAAACTATACACCAAGTTTCATCACTCTCACTTAATTAGAACTAAAGTTATTGTGTCCCAAAGCATCAACCAAACAAATTGCTTATCTCTGCTTACTCTAAGCAAAAATGCTCATCTTCGAACTCCCATCAAGGCATTGAACATTCTAGCTCAATTAGAAAGAGAGTTATTGTGTTCCAAAGTCTCGGCCAATCAAATTGCTTATCACTCTGCTTACCCTGAGCAGAAAATGCTCATTATCGAACTATGAAATGAAATGAAATGGAGTTTAACGTCCTACTGTTCTGCTCCTAACCTGGGCTAATGAAGACGGGCATACGCCATACAGTGTGCTATGAGGGAAATTTTTGCCCGGACAGCGGCACTACGGCCTACTCTTATATCGAATTCCAACTGCCAAGGGATCTTTTACGTGCACGCCAATGTGTACACGGGACCTCGGTTTTTCGTCCCATCCGAACGACTAGACAGCTTTCCTTGTCAGCCCCTCCGTCCTGCATCACTGACAAGGGAGAACATTATCGAACTAAGTCAAGGTATTAATATAATGAAACTATACACCAAAGTTCATCACTCTTACTTAATTAGAACTAAAGTTATCGTGTCCCAAAGCATCAACCAATCAAATTGCTTATCTCTGCTTACCCAAAGCGGAAAATACTCATCTCCATCAAGGAATTGACCTAATAAACACCTACACCAAGTTTGAACATTCTAGCTTAATTAGAAAGAGAGTTATTGTGTCCCAAAAAGTGTGATGGACGGACAGACGGACGAGTAGGAGATTCTCTATTAAACAACAAAGAACTAAAATGCACCCTGTGATGACAAAGATATAGATTAACATGAAACCGTAATTATGTTTACACAGCGAAACCACACTAATTGTTTCAAAAATAATTAGGGGGAAATCATACATTAGACAAGTAAATTTAATAAGTAAGAACTTATAAACATAAGGCTATTGATTCAAATGTAAATGAACATGAAACCACAACAACAATCTGATATGATACATAGTAATCACGATCTAAGGTGTTGAAAGTTAAAAAAAGGGGTAATAATTAAATATCTAATAACTACAATCTACAGGATCATTTTTATTAATTTTTGTAACCTCATCATATGCCCTATTAATAAATAGTCTCAAATCTTAAGAGGATACTTATTGTAACATCATGCTTGTGTATAATAAACCAGTGATTGTTGTCCCATATAACTGTGTCAGTTTTGTTTTGTTTCCAATGCTAAATGCCACTAAAAGATTATCTAGGATAATAACCTGACATTTCTGTAGTATGATGGCACATCAGTTATATAATAGTACAATAACTACCTTTAAAACTTCTGATATTTTTGATGACAACGTATCTTCCCAGGTTCTTCTATTTTCTTTGCTGTCTAAATTCATCCCATTACCTACAATAACAATATATTTATATAACTACCGTACTATAGCACAGTCTGTTTATATTTCATCTACAAATTCTATCTTTTCTCTCCCAGTCAATGAATATATGCCCACCAGAAGTATTTTGAAGAGTGGCTGCCAACTGAAACGTATATATAACAAGCCAACAGTGAGGCTGATGTCCCCCGCCGAAATAGGAAAATAATTAGAGAGTTATTGTGTTCCAAAGTCTCAGCAAATCAAATTGCTTATCGCTCTGCTTAATCTGAGCAGAAAATGCTCATTATCAATCTTAGTCAAGGTATTACTGTAATGAAACTATACACCAAGTTTCATCACTCTCACTTAATTAGAACTAAAGTTATAGTGTCCCAAAGCATCAACCTTCGAAAGGCGGGGGACAATCAAAGTAGGAGAGTTATTGTTTTCCAAAGTCTCGACCAATCAAATTGCATATCGCTCTGCTTACCCTGAGCAGAAAATGCTCATTATCAAACTTAGTCAAGGTATTACTGTAATGAAACTATACACCAAGTTTCATCAATCTCACTTAATTAGAACTAAAGTTATCGTGTCCCAAAGCATCAACCAATCAAATTGCTTATCTCTGCTTACCCTAAGCTGAAAATGCTCATCTTCGAACTCCATCAAGGCATTGACCTAATCAACACATACACCAAGTTTGAACATTCTAGCTCAATTAGGAAGAGAGTTATCGTGCCCCAAAGTATAAACCAATCAAATTGCTTATCTCTGCTTACCCTAAGCGGAAAATGCTCATCTTCGAACTCCATCAAGGCATTGACCTAATAAACACACACACCAAGTTTGAACATTCTAGCTCAATTAAAAGTTATCGTGTCCCAAAGCATCAACCAATCAAATTGCTTATCTCTGCTTACCCTAAGCGGAAAATGCTCATCTTCGAACTCCATCAAGGCATTGACCTAATCAACACATACACCAAGTTTGGACATTCTAGCCCAATTAGGAAGAGAGTTATCGTGTCCCAAAGCATCAACCAATCAAATTGCTTATCTCTGCTTACCCTAAGCGGAAAATGCTCATCTTCGAACTCCATCAAGGCATTGACCTAATAAACACATACACCAAGTTTGAACATTCTAGCTCAATTAGGAAGAGAGTTATTGTGTCCCAAAAAGTGTGACGGACAGACAGACGGACAGACAGAAGGACAGACAGACGGACAGACAGACAGACAGACAGACGGACGAACCCATTTTAATAGTCCCCTGCTTTCTTCGAAAGGCGGGGGACAATAACTGTATGTAACAACTGACTTTCAACTAAATGACTAGATACACAATCACAGGAAGTTTCAACAAGCAGTTGCCATGAAAGATACACCCACATTTTGCAAGAGATGGATAGAGAACAAGCTAAAAAAAAAGACAGGTTGCCAGGCAACGAAACATACGCCCACAGCAGCTAAATTGACAAGTGTTGTCACATATTTTTACTTTTTTTTGGTAATGAAACATTTATAATACACTAAAATCTGATTAAGAGTAACAACTCATAAAGTAATTATCAGAAAACCATTAGAATTTGTTTGGATTTTATAAAGTTCTGCCGCATGCTAACGTTCAGTATACGAAACTTTTAATATCATGGATTTAGCTGTTCAAGTCATAAAAATTCATTGAAAATCAATATACATTGTTCGTCTCAAGATCTTAAACTCTGTTTATCAATCTGAAGTCAATCAGATTATAACTTTAGCCTCTAGAGCGTCACAAGATTTTTCAAAGTGATCAAGGGCCATAACTCTTGCAGTAATTATCAGAAATCGCTGAAAATCAATAGGCTTCTTCATCTCGGTGACCATAAACACTGTGTATAAATTCAAAGTCAATCGGATATTAACTTTAGCCTCTAGAGCGTCCACACGATTTTTTAAAGTGATCAAGGGCAATAACTCTGGCAGTAATTATTGGAAATCGCTGAAAATTAATAGGCTTCTTCGTCTCATGGCCTTTAACACTGTATATAAATTTAAAGTCAGACCGCCAGACGGACTGACAGACCGATGGACGGACGGGGGCGACGACATTTCAATGTGGGCGTATAAAAAGTGATTATTAAGTTATGGTCTGAAATGCGCTTAAATCGAAACTGAGATCTTTGGGATATAAACATATATTTTAAGTTTCATCAAAATCGAACAAAAATTTTGACCTCTAGAGGGGCCACAACCTTCATATTACATACTTTTACACTATTTGCTTACAAGAGCCGACTATTTTGTCGGTCAGTTTTAGTCCGATTTTTACGAAATTTGAATTCATCATCAGGGTGTAACGGTGATATATTTAAATGGTTTTAAAATCAGATAAAATTGTGACCTCTTGAGGGTCCAGAAGCTCAAAATGTGATTTTTCGTACAATCAGGGGCCATAATCCACAAAGTTATGGTCTGATGAGTGCGAAAATCGACAAAAACTGAGATAGTTGGATATAAACATATCTTTTAAGTTTTATCAAAATTGAATCAAAATTGTCACCACTAAAGGGTCCACAACCTGGATATTTGCGTACATGGAGCGTCCATTTTGTCCGCCGTTTCTGTCTGATTTTCACAAAATTCAAACTCAACCATCAATAGGGTGTAACAGTGATATATTCAAACGTTTTTTTAAATCGGATAAAAATTGTGACATCTTGAGGGACCACAAGCTAAAAACGAGAATTTTCGTATGATTAAGGGCCATAATTCTGGAAGTTAGGATCCGATATGTGCGAATATCGTATCAAACCATGATCTTTGGTTTATAAACATGTATTTCAAGTTTCACCAAAATCGGATCAAAGTGGTGACCTCTAAAGGGTCCACAACCTTGATATACCATATTTTTACATTATTTGCGTAAAAGGGGCAGCCATTTTGTCCGGTAGTTTTGGGCCAATTTTCACGAAATTCGAACTTAACCAATATTATGGTGTAACGGTGATATTTTGAATGTTTTTTTAAATCGAATAATGATTGTGACCTCTGGAGGGACCACAAGCTAAAACGCAATTTTTCGTACAATTAGCAGCTATAATAAAGGAAGTTACGATCCGATATGCGCGAATATCGAAAGGTTCCAAGATCTTTGGGTTATAAACATGCATTTCAAGTTTCATTCAAATCAGATGAAAATTGTTACCTCTAGAGTGTCCACAAGCTAAAAGCGTGATTTTTTGTACAATCAGGGTCTATAATCCATTAAGTTATGGTCCGATACATGCCAATATCGAAAGGAACCAAGATCTTTTGGAGATACACATATATTTCAAGTTTCGTCAAATGGGATAAAAATTGTGACCTGTAGAGTGTCCGCAAACAAATTGTGGACGGACAGACAGACTGATAGTAGCGATGAGAAATGTTTACAGATGACAACAATGTATGATTAAATTAAGATAAAAACAACCTGATTTGAATCTATTTCTACTTATTTTAACTAATACCTGCTGGTAAATCATTTAATAGATGTTTAAATATCAGGTGAATCAGAAGATAAACATCATCTGAACTCTTTTGTAGAGCTTTTTGTAGTACAGCTACATCTTTCTGCAAATGGTGTGTAAAGTAACCTTCAGCTTTTTCTTGGGCAATTGGTGGATTAACCAAATTAGCTACAGCCTGTCAAAATTCATTATAATAAATCTATGAAAACATCTCATAATTCATTAAAATTCCATTTTTTAATCACAGACTATTTGTACTGAAATATGCCACCAGTGAAGCTGATGTCCACCGCCGAAATGGCAAAATAAATAGATGACACATATTAATTAATCGCAAATTTATTTTTTTCAAAAGTATCAAGCAATCAAACAGATTATCACCTATACACTAAGTTTCATCACTCTCTATTAGATAGAATCAAAGTTATCTTGTCCCAAAGCATCAACCAATGAAATGGCTTAGCTTTAGCTCGGAATGTTATTCATTGAACTCAGTCAAGACATTCACCTAATGAACATCTACAACCAGTTTAAACATTCTACCTCATTTAAAAGCAGAGTTGTTATGTTCCTAAGTATTGACCAATCAAATTGCTTATCGCTCCTTAGCCTAAGCAGAAAATTCTCATCATCGAACTTAGTCATTGTAATGATATTATAACAAAAGTTATTGAGCCCCAAAGCATCAACCAATCAGATTGCTTATCTCTGCTTACCGTAAGCAGACAATGTTCATCATTGAACTCCATGAAGGCATTCACCTAATGAACGCCTACACCAAGTTTGAACATTCTACCTCAATTAATAGAAGGAGAGTTATTGTGTTCCAAAGTCTTGACCAATCAAATTGCTCATTGCTCAGCTTACTCTCAGCAGAAAATATTCATTATTGAACTTATTCAAGGTATTGATGTGATAAAAAATATACACCAAGTGTCATCACTCTCACTTAATTAGAAACTAAAGTTATCATGCCCCAAAGCATTAACCAATCAAATTGCTTATCTCTGCTTACCCTAAGCAGAAAATTCTCATCTTAGATCTCTATTAAAGATACATTGTCTCAAAAGTTTTTATCGGTGGTTATTGCCAATAAAAGTATGGCAAATTTGGTATATATGGAAAGTAGAGACACCCAATCTTACTACAAAAATATTTGATTACCCGAAAAACACTCATCTTCATCAAATGGTTAGGAGGTTTGGGGAACATTGAGAGTGTCAACGTACAAGATACTCTGCAATTAAATGACGGGAAAAGAAGTTGACAGAAAATAGTTAAGAATTTACTTAGGGGTCATTAGGTATGGTAAATGGACAGTATAGTAATGAAAAATACATTCAGGGATTTGAAGCAAATTTTTGATAGATTAATTAGTTTCAATATGTTTTTAGTCCAAATATATCATCAAATCACCCAGTTCATATACGGGAAAATATCTTTAAGGCATTCACCTAATAAACACCTACGCCAAGTGTGAAAATTCTAGCTTAATTAGAATGAGAGTTATTGTGTTCCAAAGTCTAGACCAATCAAATTGCTTATCGGTCCGCTTACCCTGAGCAGAAAATGCTCATTGTCGAACTTAGTCAAGGTACTGATGTAATGAATACCTACACCAAGTTTGAACATTCTAGCTCAATTAGAAGGAGAGTTATTGTGTCCCAAAAAGTGTGATGGACGGATGGACAGACAGATAGAAAGGCGAGAGTCAATTATGAACATAGAACAACAAATACAGGTTATATAATATTCAAACTTCAACCTAACATTTGGACAAAATAATCAGGTCACACATATGCCACAGATAATCAAGCCCTATAAACCACTGAAGCCAGAATGGAATGGAATGAGGTTTAATGTCTTGTCATACATGTAACTAAATTAGGTCATTTTGAGACTAACATATAGTAATTTCTTACAATGAGAGCCAGACTGATGGTTTTAAGTGCAGTGTTATCCACATAACCACGCTTCACAAAATATGTTTCAGTTGTATTGTGAATTCAAGAATTTCACAGGTAAATATGCTGATTATTCATTACCTATACAACTTATATACAGTGGACTGTCACTTCCGACATCATACGGGATCGATACAATATGCCGGATTATACAGCATGTCAGAATACTCAATTGTGTCAATACCGGAAGTATTATTGTACCTCAAATACCAGAAGTATTATTTTAATACACCTTCAAATTCCCAGAACTTAAAATATGATATTGATTAACCTTTCTGAACATTCAAAATTTCATTATATAAAATTATTACGTTTTTACTTCGGACACATACAACCACTCCTGCATCATTCTGTTGATGTCTTCAAATTTAGAGTTCGAGTAAAATCATTTCTTACTGTTTCTTAAATCATGATATTCATATGGATCGTGAAGAGTGACAGGTTAGTTGCTGAAGCGATGAGTATTGAAGCAAGATGTGGCATCGACATCGCTAGCCAATTTGTAATCTAGTATACAAGATATGTTTCAGCCAAAAGATAGGTTGCCAGGCAACAAAACATACGCCCACAACAGCTAAGTTGTCCGGACAGTCAACAAGTGTTGTCGCATGTTTTTTTCTTTTTGTTGAGAACATTTACAACAATTATCAGAAAACATTAGAATTTGTTTCGATTGTTTGTCTCATGACCTTAAACGCTCTAGAGCGTCCACAATTATCAGAAATCGCTGAAAATCAATAGGTATCTTTGTCTCATGACCTTAAACACTGTGTATAAATTTAAAGTCAAATGGATATTAACTTTAGCCTCTAGAGTGTCCACAAGATGTTTCAAAGAGATCAAGGGCTATAACTCTGGCAGTAACTATCGGAAATCGCTGAAAATCAATAGGCTTCTTCGTTTCATGACCTTAAACACTTTGCATAAATTTAAAGTCAATCGGATATTAACTTTAAATTTCAAAGTGATCAGGGGCCAGCGGCTGCCAGACAGGATACGCCCACATTTTAGAGAGATGGATAGAGAACAAGCTAAAAAGAAAGTGGTCTTTGAGTTATAAACTTACATTTCTTCAAGTTTCAACAAAATCGGATAAAAATTGTGACCTCTATAGGGTCCACAACCTTGATATACCATATTTTTTACGCTATTTGAGAACGAACGGCGGCCATTTTGTCTGTCAATTTTAATCCTATTTTCACGAAATTCGAACTAAGTCGTCCTTAGGGTGTAATTAACGGTGATATAATAATAAGGTTTTTTAAATCGGATAAAAATTATGACCTCTATAGGGTCCACAAGCTAAAAACACGATTTTATCGTACAATCAGGGGCCATAATTCATTAAGTTACAGTCCGATATGCGCGAATATCGAAAGGAACCGAGATCTTTGGGTTATAAACCTACATTTCAAGTTTCAACAAAACCGGATAAAAATTGTGACCTCTATAGGGTCCACAAGCTAAAAACGTGATTTTTCGTACAAACAGGGGCCATAATCCATGAAGTTTCGATCCAATACATGCCAATATCGAAAGCAGCCGAGATCTTTTGGAGATAAACCTATATTTCAAGTTTTGTCAAAATTGGATAAGAATTGTGACCTGTAGAGTGTCCACAAACAAATTGTGGACGGACGGACAGGGGCGACGGCATAATACGTCCACATGAAATTGTGAGCGTATAAAAATCAATAGACTTCTGTGTCTTATGACCTAAAACACTGTGTATAAATTTAAATTCAATCGGATTTTAAATTTAGCCTGTAGAGCATCAACAAGATATGTCAAAGAGATCAAGGGCCATAACTCTGGCAGTAATTATCGGAAATTGTTGGAAGTCAATAGGCTTTTTTGTCTCATGACCTTAAGCACTGTGTATAAATTTAAAGTCAATCGGATATTAACTTTAGCCTGTAGAGCGTCCACAAGATTTTTCAAAGTGATGAAGAGCCATACATCTGGCAGTAATTATTGGAAATCACTGAAAATCAATAGGCTTCTTCGTCTCATGACCTTAAACACTGTGTATAAATTTAAAGTCAATCGGATATTAACTTTAGCCAATTGCTTGTGGACGCCTGACGGACGGATGGGGGGGAGGGGACGGCGACAATATACGCCCACATTGAAACTGATTACTAGAGGCCACAGTACGATAGTGCCTGTCTATCATAATATGTTTTTTTGCTTTCAAAAAGTAATTTGTGTTGTATTGTGCTGCACTAATATAAAGACAGCGCACATAGTTACAGCGATTCGCCATATAAGACGGAACCATCTATTGAATACTTAACGGCCAATTCCATCTATGTAGGTCGTGGAACTTTTTCAAAATCTGCTATAATTTGCTGCTAGACATCCAATGTCATATACATACAGGCATGCTTTGAAGGACGATCACACATTATGAACACAATATTATAATGATAGTGATTCTTCATCTCGATAATTTATAATAATGTCACTGTAATTGACGTAATTAATTCAAATGAAATCCCAAGTGCTCTCTTGGGAGAGATTATAAAATTATCAAGGTAATCAACAAAGGCCGACACATGTTTTAAGCTCACCGATAATTGATTGGTGATTGCTTGTTGGTTAACACCCACTGATTGAAGACAAGATTATCCAATATTAATTCAATGCAAATCGTGTGACGGGACCGCTGATTGATGTCGTGGTTCATAATATTCAGAATATGGACAACTCTTAACTTTTTTTGTTGAAGTAATAAGGAAATAAATCGGGACTGTATTCAAGCCCAAAAATTAACTATGTGTATTTGTGTGAACACCATCTTTTTAAATGTCAAGAAAGCACTAACCAAAACTTTTTTGGTTGAAGTAATAAGGAAATAAATCTGGACTGTATTCAAACCCCTAAATTACTATCTGTATTCGTGTGAACACCATCTTTTTAAATGTCAAGAAAGCACTAACCTGTGAATTTTGTTTGGCTCCCAACAACATTGACATATGAGTCATCATTCTTATAATAGCACATACAGATGGTGACATAGATCTTTCTGGAATGGCTACTAATGGTCGTTGATCTGCTAAACCCAGGATATGTCCAGTCTTGGATCTATCTCGTCTAAATTAGTAAAAAAGAAAAAGATGTGAGTTACAATGATCAAGATAAAGTAAGTCAATTATGTATACATCAATGCCAAATACTGTGCCATTGAATAGTTCTTTCACTTTAATATACAACAAGGATAGATTACAGAGAAAAGGGAACTGGGGACAAGGTGGTGAAAATCAACATATATCTGGTATTTGCAAAGATATGATAAATTAGAACTGTGTAACATTCAGCATCCTTTGCAGAAAATTAGCATCACTTAAAATCTTTTGATAGGCCTCTTTTTAATTTGACAAAATCCAGAACGTTAGATTATCTATCATTGATATTTTGCTTTTGTTTTCTTAATTGAATGTTAGATCTTTCACCAGAGCACTAATATTAAACATACCCATCATCTGTAGTATTTCCTTGTGTTGCCTGATGACCTTGACCACCTATTGTTGCATTACATTGATTACATTTGCTTACCGTGTATGGCTTACCACACTGAAAATAAAGATAGGTTGCCAGGCAATGAAACATACGCCCACAGAAGCTAAATCGTCCAAGCGGTCGACACAAGGGTATAGTCACATATTTATTCATTTGTAGGTAATTAGGGGCCTTTACAAGACAGTTCCATAAAAGGTTCTACAGACTGAAACAAGGGTCTCAACTCTGGAAGTAATTTGACAGGCTTTTTTGTTTTACTAATTTAAATAATGCATATAAATTTCATACAGATCAGATGATCACTTTTGTCATTCAAACGATCACAAGGTTCATAACCATAACTCTAGAAATTATTGATGGAAATTGCTGAAATTCAATAGATCTCTGTTCCACAAATTTAAATGATGCATATAAATTTCATACATATCGGATGATAACTTTCATCAATCGAGCATTAACAAGGTTGAACAAAGTGAAACAAGGGCCATAACTCTAGAAGTATTAAACGGAAATTACTGAAATTCAATAGGATTCTTCTCTTTACTGATATAAATGACGCATGTAAATTTCATACAGATCGGCAGATTACTTTTGATGTTAGAGCATTCAAAAGGTTCAATAAAGTGAAACAAGGGCCATAACTCTAGACTTAATAAACGGAAATTGCTGAAATTCAATAGGCTTCTTCGTTTCACTAGTTTAAATAATGCATATAAATTTCAGAAAGATCGGATGATAACTTTTGGCATTAGAGTGTTCACAAGGTTAAACAAAGCAAATCAAGGGCCATAACTCTAGAAGTGATAAACGAAAATTTATGATAACTTTTGGCGTTAGTGTTCACAAGAAATTGTGGACGATGGACGGACGGATGGACGGACAGACAAGGCGAGGGCAATATACGTCCACATTTCCATGTGGGAGTATAAAAACAATAATGAATGAATAGGTATTTTCCAAAAAATGAGTTATGAGTCCCTCAGACCCGCCTCCCACCCCCCTTAACTTTCAGAAACTATTTAAAATATAGGTTATGAAAGATATTTTATAGTTGAAATTAGAATAATTTGGGTTTTTTTTTTACTTAAGTTTCCCTTTAATAAACATAATGGGAAATGAAATGAAATGGGGTTTAACGGTCTACTGTTTTGCTCCTAAACTGGGCTAATGAAGACGGGCATACGCCATACAGTGTGCTATGAGGGAAATTCCAACTGCCAAGGGATCTTTTATGTGCACGCCAATTTGTACGCGGGACCTCGGTTTTTTGTACCATCCGAACGACTAGACAGCTGTCCTTGTCAGGCCCTCTGTCCTGCATCACTGACAAGGGGAAACCACGCCGGAAAATCTGGATGAACTTTCTCGGCAAATACAGGGATCGAACACCCAACCTCCAGGCTAGTGAGCCAGCGTCTTACCCACTTAGCCACGTGATCCCCAAACATAATGGGATATTAAATATAAAATAACTTAATTACCTCACCAATAATATAAGCATGACCATTTGGACACCCTAAAATATAATGTAAAATAACATCAAATCAATATCTACAGAAGACAGCCAAGATGACTATATACAGAATTTTAAACACAGTGTTACCAAGCTATAACCAGCGATTGCCAGGTAAGATATCGATACGCCCACATTTTGCAAGAGACGGATTGAGAACAAGCTAAAAAAGAAACGCAATTTTTCGTACAATCAGGGGCCATAATCCAAGAAGTTATGGTCTGAAATGTGCGAATATCGAAAGGTACCGAGATCTTTGGGATATAAAGATTTATTGTAAATTTCATCAAATTCAGACAAAAATAGTGACCTCTAGTCGTTTCAATTTTCATGAAATTCGAACTCAACCTTCTCTATGGTGGAAAGGTGATATATTAAATTGGTTTCTAAAATCTGATAACCAGCTGTTGCCAGGCAAGATACGCCCACATTTTGCAAGAGACGAATCGAGAACAAGCTAAAAAGGAAATGCAATTTTTCATACAATCAGGGGCCATAATCAAAGAAGTTATGGTCTGAAATGTGCGAATATGGAAAGAGACTGAGATCTTTGGGACGTAAACATATATTTTAAGTTTCATCAAAACCTGCTAAAAATCGTGACCTCTAGAGGGCCCACAACATTCCTATTACATACTTTTACACAATCTGCGTAGAAAGAGCGGCCATTTTGTCAGGCAGTTTGGTTCCCTTTATTTTCCGAAGTTCAAATTCAACCTTCATTATGGTGGTATGGCATTATATTTAAACAGTTGTTAAAATCGGATAAAAAATTGTGACCTCTAGATAATCCACAAGCTTAAAAACATGATTTTTCGTCCAATCAGGGGCCATAATCCAGGAAGTTAAGGTCCGATATGCACCAATAGCGACAGGAACCAAGATCTTTGGGACATAAACATATATCTAAAGTGTCATCAAAATCTGATAACAATTGCAACTTCTAGAGGGTCCACAACCTTGGTATGACATACTTTTACAGTATTTGCGTACAAGCCACCATTTTATCAGGCAGTTTTGGTCCGATTTTCACGAAATTGGAACTCAACCGTCATTAGGGTGTAATGGTGATAAATCTAAACATTTTTTAAAATTGGATGAAAATTGTGACCAAGATCTTTGGGTTATAAACATGTACTGTTATTTCAAGTTTCATCAAAATTGGATCAAAACTGTGACCTCTAGAGGGTCCACAACCTTAATATACCATATGTTTACACTATTTGAATACGAGGGGCGACCATTTTGTCCGGCAGTTTAGGTAAGATTTTCACGAAATTCTAACTCAACTGACATTACGGTTTAACGATGATATATTCGAACATTTTTTTAAATCGGACAATAATTGTGACCTCTAGAAGGACCACTAGCTAAAATGTGATTTTTCATACAATCAGGGGCCATAATTCAGGAAGCTACAATCCAATGTACGCGAATATTGAAAGGAACCATGATTTTTGGCTTATAAACATGCATTTTAAGTTTCATCAAAATCAGATGAAAATTCTGACCTCTATATAGGGTCCACAAGCTAAAAACATGATTTTCGTATAATCCATGAAATAACAGTCCAATGTGTGGAAATATCACAAAAACCAAGATTGTTGTGTTATTAATCTATACTTCAAGTTGCATCAAAATCAGATAAAAATTGTGACCTGTAGAACGTCCACAAACAAAATGCGTGCGAACGAATGGACAGACAAGGGGGATGACAATCCACATAAAAATGTGGGCGCATAAAGATATGTTGACCACCTGCTTTAAGAAGGGGAACAAGGGCAATATAGTAGGATATGATGTGATGTAATTCCATCTCCAAAACTGTGATCTGTTGAGTATACAAGGTTTCATTGAATTCAACAAAAAGTCAAGTGTTAAAAAGGTATTCATGAATAAAGGAGTAACTTAAACATACATTATGCAAGAGCTAAATCTGCCTATTTCAGGTCTTTCTTTAGGCCTGAAATGTTATCTAAATTATTAATTAGACATTAATTAACCTATCCAGGTCATAATCAACTCTACATGGCCGAGCTAGCCTGCAATCTTAAGTGGATTGTAAGCCGATTTACTGCATAACTTTCCTTCTCGATTAAACGATTAAATGGATAATCAAGACTCGAGACTAAGCTGTTTATCGTACTGACTTTAGTAATGTTGAATGAAATTTTCACCAAATTGCCTTTACATTATCTAGTTTTTAACTATTATAGTGAGAACTGCCAACTCGTAACCGAATCTCCCATAATGTATCTTTAAGGAATAATTGTCTATACAGTTGAATGAACAATGGACATTCTATCAAAATTTTGAAACATAGCATAATTATAAACCTACCAGCAGATTTCAAATTTTAAGGGTCAGGGTCAGTACCTCAGACTAACAGATAAAACATAGGGGAAAAACAACTTCTTGAAATATCAATGGAACTAGTCAGAAGATTTATACTCTGATCACAGTAGCTCGGCAAGGCAGGATCGCTATTCCCTGTAAGGTTTGCACAACAACCTTTACCTACCTCTGTCAGCTGCTGTATGTTAAACAATAAGCTTATACATCAGAAAACCAGCGGCTGCCAGGCAGGATACGCCCACATTTTCGCGAGATGGATAGAGAACAAGCTAAAATGAAAGTGATTTTTCCTACAATCAAGGGCCATAATTCAGGAAATTACAATTTGATATGTGCAAATATCGAAAGGAACCGAGATCTTTGGGTTATAAACTTACATTTCAAGTTTCAACAAAATCGGATAAAAATTAAGACCTCTATAGGGTCCACAACCTTGATATACCATATTTTGGGAACGAGGGCCGGCCATTTTGTCTGTCAGTTTTGGGCCGATTTTCACGAAATTCAAACTCAGCCATCCTTAGGGTGTAACGGTGATATAATAATACGTTTTTTTAAATAGGATAACCAGCGGCTGCCAGGCAGGATACGCCCACATTTTCGAGAGATGGATAGAGAACAAGCTAAAAAGGAAGTGATTTTTCCTACAATCAATTGCCATAATTCAGAAAATTACAATTCGATATGCACAAATATCGAAAGGAACCAAGATCTTTGGGTTATAAACTTACATTTCAAGTTTCAACAAAATCGGATAAAAATTGTGACCTCTATAGGGTCCACAACCTTGATATACCATATTTTGAGAACGAGGGCCGGCCATTTTGTCTGTCAGTTTTGGGCCGATTTTCACGAAATTCAAACTCAGCCATCCTTAGGGTGTAACGGTGATATAATAATACGTTTTTTTAAATAGGATAAAAATTATGACCTCTATAGTGTCCACAAGCTAAAAACGAGATTTTTTGTACAATCAGGGGCCATAATTCAGGAAGTTACATTCCGATATGCGCGAATATCGAAAGGAACCAAGATCTTTGGGTTATAAACTTACATTTCAAGTTTCAACAAAATCGGATAAAAATTGTGATGTCTATAGGCTCCACAACCTTGATATACCATATTTTTACGCTATTTGAGAACAAAGGGCAGCCATTTTGTCTGTCAGTTTTGGGCCGATTTTCACGAAATTCGAACTCAGCTGTCCTTAGGGTGTAACGGTGATATAATAATACGATTTTTTAAATCGGATAAAAATTATGACCTCTATTATAGGGTCCACAAGCTTGAAACACGATTTTCTTACAATCAAGGGCCATAATTCAGGAAGTTACAATCCGATATGCGCGAATATCGATAGGAACAGAGATCTTTAGGTTATAAACTTGCATTTCAAGTTTCAACAAAATCGGATAAAAATTGTGACCTCTATAGAGTCCACAACCTTGATATACCATATTTTTACGCTATTTTAATTGAGAACTAAGGGCGGCCATTTTGTCTGTCAGTTTTGGGCTGATTTTCACGAAATTCGAACTCAGTCATCCTTAGGGTGTAACGGTGATATAATAAAACGTTTTTTTAAACCGGATAGAAATTATGACCTCTATAGGGTCCACAAGCTAAAAACGTGACTTTTTCGTACAATCAGGGGCCATAATTCAGGAAGTTACGTTCCGATATGCGCGAATATCGAAAGGAACCGAGATCTTTGGGTTATAAGCATACATTTCAAGTTTGAACCAAATCGGATAAAAATTGTGGCCTCTACAGTGTTCACAAGCTAAAAACGTGATTTTTCGTACAATCAGGGGCCATAATCCATGAAGTTACAGTCCGATACATGCCAATATCGAAAGGAACCGAGATCTTAGGGTGATAAACCTATATTTCAAGTTTCATTGAAATCGGATAAAAATTGTGACCTGTAGACTGTTCACAAACAATTGTGGACGGACGGACGGACGGACAGGGGCGACGACAATATACGTCCACATGAAAATGTGGGCGTATAATAAAATACTATGATATGTTGATGTTTGTACAAAGTTTCAAAAAATTTTTCTTGAACAGGTAATGAAATATGCGCCGGAAATGAAATCGGGATGGAAGGACGGTCATTAGAAAATAAAATAATAGGTTGATGAATGTAAAAGTGTAATAAAGGTATCTTGATCAAATTCTGTGATATGCTCTAAGAATAATAATTATAGAATAATAATTATATACCAAAAACTAAGTCAGATGTGTAGTAAAAATTCAAAATCATGCAACAGAGAAATTTGTTTCCATAGAAACACAAAAATCATTAAATCTGAGAAATTTCTAATTAGCAAAAGGCACAATAACCACAGAGTAAAAATACACAGAGTGGCGACTCGCATTACGGACCATAGAAAGACAGCGATGCGCAATGCATCTTGGGAATTGTCTGTAATAAACACACACTGACAGTTCGCTCAACGACGTTACGAAATCTATATCGATGAACTAAATCTCTTTAATTTCGTAGTTTTATAGTATTTTCGGTAACAAAACTACTGAGAATTATCACATACAATCATAATATGTTAGTTGTGTGTGTGTTTGGGAATTTATAAAACATGATTCATATTTTTAGAACATGCATAAAGCGTGGTACTGCCCGG